TAAAGACATTGAAAAATTTAGGCCTTCCATTAAATATTACAAATATAAATTTAAAAAGTAGGTGACTGAAATTAAATATACAATTAACTCTCAGAATTTTTTCAAATAATTCAGGTTATTCATGACTCTTGTTTTGGCTGTGACCTAAGTGTATCAGGTGCATCTCCCAGATCAACATTGGTAATCAGCAATCTTCTTTTGGTAGAGCATCATGCAGACAGTTAACTTTAAAGTGAAAATAAGATATGTTTGACAGTGCCAGACCCTGTTCAAGTAATGTCTGTGATTGACACACAGGAAGAAGAAATTATCATTGCTAAAAGACTAACATGAAAATTTGTAAATGAAAACTCACAGTTCAGAAAAAATCACTTGTAAAGCTTTAAATATCTATATGGTAACTTACAGTAAGTAAGATGGCTGGTATTTAGGAGAAACTTGAATTTTAGTACTGTTATTGAGAGATATAAAGCTTTAAAGTCATGACATGAGATTATCGTTATATAGATTTTTCTTGAAAATAATATGCAGAACATTGTAAAAGTCTTATCTGACATCAAATATATTACAGGCAAGATAGAGAGACCTGTACACAAGTTACAAAATGTGCAGCACAGTATTTATTTCAATTACAGGTGTAATCCGGAGGTAAAAAGTTGTTAGTGTTTTACTTACCTGGAAATGAACTGTATAAGACATCACATTCAAGCCATTTATGCTATGAACATTCTACAGCTGGATGATATGATGCAGATGCTTTTCAAATATATTGAAGATTTGCCCAGATTGAATAAAATCCATCTTCTATCTTGCTGATAAAGCATGTAGCAAAAAACGTATAGGCTTGCAGGTCTGCAAAATGTATGCATTGCACCATGGCAACTTCTGTAAGTGCATTCTGTGTTTATGTTGCCTATTAATTTACTGTCTAACTACTTTGAATTTGAGGGTACTTTTGTTCAACAGATTGTACCTAGCTATTTAATTTTAGTGAACATAATTCATAAACTTTACTTAATAAATGGTGCTTCTTGATCAGGCTCAAATTTCTCACTTTGTTCTTTATTTGATTTAAGAATAATATATTTTCAGTGGTTGCACTAGCATTTTTGTCCATGCATTCCAAAACACATTTCCATCCTTCATTCAGGAATTGTGTTTAAATACATAACTACTATTTGTTTGCACAGAATGAATGGAATCTTGCCATTTTGTCTAGATAAACACTTTTAATCATGTAAACAGGACTATAAAGCTTGAATCTGATAGTTGTCAAAATGAAGTTGCTCTGAACTATATATATCAGTCAGGATTTATGTTTATGATAAATTATGCTGTGATGAATTTATTTGTAAGTTTTTTTTTACACTAACAAAGTCAATATAAATGCATAACACTTGCTAAATTTGTTGAAATTTAACCCAAATGGCATTCAGTATATTTTTCACTGATTCTAAGAGACATTGACTACATGTTATGAATTGTTTATATGCATGCAGAAAGCACCTGCACATTGATCATGAATATTCATAAGTTATAAATAGATATATATATCCAGACTCTATCTCTTTCATAGTTTTTTTAAACTCCCTTAAAGTTACTGCATCCACAACATCTGAAAGTAACCCATTTCAGAGGGTAACTACTCTGTTAGAAAATTAAAACAGTCTTAGCTGAAAATGACTTCTATCCTGCCAAAGTTTATATTTGTATCCCCTAGTTCTACCATTCTTTCCATTAAATATGAAAAAAGGTGCTGCATTGACTATCAGTGTTCTAATAATGTTAAGCACCTGAATCATTTTAATGTACATATAATTATGCTTAATCTTGCAGAAAATCTTCACCTACATTTGCAATAATAATAATAATGGCTATGCTAACTGATTGATGTTTACCTCAAGTTTCACCTGGTGAATAAGAAGTGATTAATTTTATATTTGCATAGTTCAAAATAAAATCACTTGAAAAAGAAACATAATTACACGCTGAATTGATATATAAGATGTTGAATGCAGGCATGTTTGTTTATGCACACTTCTACAGGTATGATCACAGACCCAATGTAGAACTGTACTACAGCTATGTTTAAACTTATATACAAGGAAAGAGAAGTTTGGATAATTTGTTTCAAATACTTACATTTAACTACAAGAGAGCTATTTGTGCACAGCCATCCCTGATTTTGAACTGATAGACTAGAAGGATGGCAGCTAGTCAACAGCTCCAACTGCAAAATGTTGGTCTACTCTGTGTGGCTGAATAGTTGGATTTGACCTTTACTCTTATGGAACATCCATAGTCCCAAAGTACAGGACATGTTTTTGCAGCAATAGTACATGAATCATGAACTTTCAGATTCACAGTCTAGGCATGCTAACCACTAGTTTATGTCTGGCCCACTTTAGTCTGAGAACCTTTTATTTTAAAGAAAATTACTTAGACAAACTTGTCATTTAAAAGCAAATAGCAAGAAATATAAGGTGGTTTGAAGAATCATTTTTAAATTTTATCTTTAAATTTAAAAAAATGTCATCCAGCATACAGTAAAACTAGTTACCGGTTGAATAAATAAAGGTGAAGTGGGCAACAACTGTCTATTACAGTGTGGCACTTGTGAAAAAAGTCTTGGAGAACTAATCTATAAAAATAGTGAATATGAAAAAGGATGACATTTCAAAGGACTTCTGTCTTTTTTTCTTCAGTTCAGCTTGCGCTGGTTTTGCAGGAGATTTATATGCTGTCTGGGAAGATTGAGGTAGAGGTTACATGATTGGTTGGTGGTCCTTGTACTGTGGTTCATTGAGTGATTAATCATTTGACCAATGATAGCCATAAACTGCAGATTTCCAGACCTGAGACTGTTTAGTAATGGTTCCATCATGTTGATGTAGAAAGATTCTTTGATTTTTCTTGTTTTCCATAATTTATGTGAATAAATGAGTTCATCATGAAAAATCTGTCTGAATCATTTATTAAAGAATAGTTACTGGTTGTTTTGGCATATTAAAATCCTTTTAAGGTAAAAAAGTTCTTAATATTTACTAACTCAGAATAGAAATCATAATAAATACAATACTATCAATATTATATAAGCTCTCTGCACTAAAATACTGTTTATATTTCTTTTAAAGATAAATGGAAAAACTTCAAAATTGAAATGTAACAGAAATTTTAGGTTTATGATAACTACAGTTCAAATAATTACTTAATTAATATTAGGTTATTAAGAAGTTAATGTTGTATTTTGGAACACTTTCAGTAACCACCCCCAAAAATGTACATCATGTATAATAGTTAAACAAACCACCTAAACTTAACACTAGTGTAGCCTATAAAATGTGTAAAGTTTAGTATACTCTAATCCCTTATAGTGATGGCACATGACGAGACACACATTCGGCATGTAAGGCTGTTTGAATACAAGAAGGGAAACAATGCCTCTGTAGCCACAAAGAATATCAAAGAAGTTTATGAAAATGTTTTGAACATTCGTAAGTGTCAATGATGATTCAGCAAATTTCGTTCAGGTGACTTTAGCCATAAAAACTGTGATGGCAGGGGCTGACATGTTGGAATTGATATTTATGCTCTGAAGACACTTGATGAGTCTAACCCAAGGCAACATGCTCGTGAATTGGCCTTGAAATTGCATTTCTCTCATGAAACAATATGTAAACATCTAAGGAAT